GGAATAAAGAAAAAGTCTTGAACCCCTCTTGATAATTAAAACCAGAAAAGCTTATCAATCCTATTGATATACCAGAAAAATCTTAACTTCTAATGGAGGTTATCTTGTTCGTTTATATTTAGCATCATTCTGGGCCTAAAATTACAAGCTACCAATCAACTGCACAGCTTCTATATGTCATGACAAAACTTCAGACACATCCATTTTCTCTAAACTCTAAATCACTGATGGAAGGACATTGATCTAGCAACTACATTGGGGAAATGACCCAACTGAATGAGAAAAAAAATGCAGAATTTCCAGGATCCTTCCAAATCTTGAGGATTTTTTGATTTCTCTAACCTCTGCAACCCAAAACTAGGGTGGAGGATTTTTCTATTTCTCTAGTATCTACAACCCAAAACCAGGGTGGATAATTCTTCCCAAACATATGAACTCTCCCAGTGCACTCCTCTGTTTTGTCCATCCCATATGGTCTGCATTATATCATGTGGCTGATGTGAAAAGGGATCCCTCTGTCAGATGATCTCAGCTGACACAGACTGAACAAGACAGATTAAGGGGTACATTCATCTAATGCTGTGTGCTCTCCCTCTGTTGTGCACTTCCATATAGCCCATTACCAATGACCTTCTCCACAAAGCCAATCTGGAAGTATGTTGGGAATTTGGGGAGATTTATAGGCAGCTCACATTTCAGCTCCTTTTAGCATAAAACACAGATTCCATGAAAATATCTGTGAAGACAGCAGTTGCACAGGTACAGGATCTCCCAGACCTTGTGAAGATATAGACACAAATGCCTTAATCCCCTGACATTAAGATAGCACACAGCAAAAACAGGTCCAAATAAATGAGGCTTTCAGAATTTGAATGATGTGCACCTCCACTAGATTCAGGTACCTCCTCTGAATCTATAGGGGTGATTAACATGAATGATTGATAGGACATTGAATCATCTCAGGGAATCTTAAAATACATTCTTACTCCAGAATTTACTCTGATCTTATTCATGACATGTAGTACATATTTGTGTCAATGAGATTTCAGTATAGTGAGTGTGAATGAGTTCAGGCAAGAGAATCTAACATGCATGTGCTCTTTGTAGAGCATCAAATGTTTCCTGAGTTACTGTTACACAATTTTCTAACTCTCTTAGGACAATGGAAGGAAGAGTAGCCATAGTGTGATGTTTAAAATAAAAGGATGGAAGGGAATGACTTCCTCAGCTCCATAGCTTTTAATTGCACTCATTCTTTTCAAAGAAAACCCAAAAGACTTCAACCAAAGGAGACTTAAAATAATTTCATCAAAGTACCAAGTTAAAAATCACTACAGAAAAATCAAGAGCATTTGTACAAATCAACAATAAACTTACCAAGAAAGAAATCAGTAAAACAATGCCATTCACAATAGCTTTAATTTTTTTTAATAGCTAGGAATTATCCTAATGAAGGAAGTAAAAGATCTGCATTATGAAAACTTTAGGAGTGTGGGGGGAAAAAAGGTGATTAAAAAGGTATCGGAAAATGGAAAATCATCCCATGCGCATGGATACACAGAAGTAACATTGTCAAACTGACCATACTACCAAAAATGATACAGAGATTTAATGCAGTCTGTGTGTCTTACTTTCTCATTGCAGAGACATAATGCAATACCCATAAATATGAGGAGGAAAAGTTTATTTTGGATCATAGTTTGGGAAGTGTTCAGTTTTTATCAAATTGCAAAGTTTCTGCACAGCAAAGGAAACAACCAAAGGAGTGAAGACAACTGTTGGAAAGAACCCCACACTCGATTTATTGGTGCAGAAAATGAAGCACTCAGACACCAAGAAATCTCAATAAGGCTTTTTATTTTTGCAAAAGGGCATAAGCTTGTGGTAGTAGGTGCACAGAACAAAGGAGGGTCACCATTTTTATTCCAAATGCAAAAGGAGCAGCTGACCTCTATCCCATTGGCTGGTTTGAAGGTTCACAATCTATCCTGATTGGTTCAGAGGGCGCAAGGAAAATCGGAAGGGTTTCTGATGGGAAGGGAGGAGAGTTGGGGGTGAGGTTGGAGGATAGATAATCCTTGGCCCCTGTCAAGCTATCTTTGGTTTTTAACTGTGTTCTTTGTTGTTGCTGCTGTTTGGAAGGGTACTAGGAATCAAACTCAGGGCCTCACACTTGCCAGGCAGGCACTTGTGCCACTGGGCTAGAAAAGACAGAATTTAGTATTTCCCATAAAACTCACACAATGAGAAAATTTTTGCCTGCTGTTCCCCAGATAGAAGACTAATAGCTAGAATATATGAAGGAAAAAATAGAACATGCTAAGAACTACAAAAATTACAGACTCCACCAAATGAAAGATCCATTAAAAAGGACTACTGAAGTAAACATTCTCAAAAGACTAAGGACAAATGGCCAGTAAGTCATCAAAAAACTTTCTTGCATCTTTGTCCATTAAAGAGATG